GTTGTTTGGAGTTTTTCCGTGGACACTTTTTTCCAAAGAAAAAATCCAGCTGACGCTATTTGTTAAGTATTTTCAATTTGGGTGTTGATTATTTTTTCTCTTTCTCGGTGTGTGTGTGTGTTCCTGTCGATTTTGTTACAAAATTTAATAAACAATCTATATTGCTGTGTTATTTCCCTTATTTACTGTTGATAACCCAGCATGCCGCCACCGCTGCTGCCAACTACTTCTCCCTACATATTTTAGGAAACGGAAATTGATTTCGCTGTACTTACACATCCTTGAGTAGATTTGCTGCTTGGTAGGTGGCTAGCTGCTTTACTTCTATTGTTGTTGTTGCTGCTGTTGTGCACCACATTGTGAACTTGAGAAATTCAAAAGCGGAATTCAGCCAATGGAGGTTGGTTTTTTTTAAACATTCTTTCTAAAGTTGTTTTGCTTCTTCTTGGAAAAAGCCATTCAAGGCTAACCCTGGTGGTTTTTCTGTTGTTCTTCTTGGTATTGGTGTGTGTGTGTGTGAGTGTCTTGTTGTTTATTTTGCAATTTCCATTGCTATTTTGCTTCATTCATATTCTTGGTAAAGCTGCTTACTAATTTAGCACAAAGGTTTACTTACTTTGTTGTACTGTATTTCGTTACGCTTTGTACTATTTTGTATTCGCGAGAGAAGGCGTGAGGTCGAAGAGGGGGCCACGAGTTTTTTGTTATAGTGTTTTAAAATTTAAAAGAGATTTTTTTTCTTTAGATTTTATTTTAAGCTGTTTGCCTGAACAATTATAATTAAATAGCAATTTTAAATAAAAAACCGGGGATTTCAGAATTTTAAATTTTAATTTTATGAAGTCCTATAAAAAATGACAAATGTGGGTTTCGATATTTTAAAGGGGATTGTGAGAATAATCGATCAAAGGACTCTTAAAGCTATTAAAATGGATCTTTTGATGTACATTTTGAAAGAACTGTGGGAGATTGATTTCAGGATTTTTCTTCGAAGGACCAGCAGATTTAAAGGACTATAATCTCAAATTTTCTAGAATATATTTTTTTGGGAATCCTTTTGAGTTCAGGACTTGGATTTTAGTAATTTTTTATAGGAGATAAAGAGAACAAATTTTTTTCGGATTCTTTTTTAGACACGTTGATTTTTTAAGATATTTGTGAAACGATAAGGAGAGCTACAAAGATGGCATCAGCCAACGCTCGCATAATTTTCTAATGTTTAAGGATAATTCAGCAGGGGATTATAGGAGCCACTAGTGCCTATTTCAAGGATAATTGTGGTATTTCGGCATTATCTTTTCAAGGATTTTAGGATAATTATTGGAAGGACGGTTCGAGCTCAAAGATATGAAATATTTAGAAAAAAATTTTTGAAGGACTATTCGAACCATATATGTGTAATTTAATTATTATTGTTTGAAGGATTATTCGGAATTTAGTTATTACTATTCGAAGGACTATATTGGCCACCAGCGTCGATTTCAAGGATAACTTATCCAAAGGCTTTCAGAGTGACCAACGTGATTAGAAAATATGCAAATGAGGAATTTAATGATATTTTGCGGAAGGATCGCTAAACCTGTTTTTTAAAGGACCTGTTTGGGGGAATTTTTTAAAGTACCTGCAAATGTGTTAATAATTTTCAAAAATCTCTAAGCGATGACATTTTCGGAGAGAAATTCACTAGGATATGTTTAAGGACGTATAGACATGAATATTAAGAAAATATTTTCTGAAGGATGCATATTTTCTCAAAAACTAGCAAGCGTATATATTTTGGTTTAGGACCTCTAAATATTCTGAAAGACATAAAAATGTGTGTGAAAAGGACCTGTTAAAAGACATATAGTATGTGTAATTTAATTATTATTGTTTGTTGGACTATTCGAAATTTAATTATTACTATTTGAAGGACTATATTAGCCATCAAAGTAGATTTTTGGAATTATTTATTTAAAGACTCTCAGAATGACCAACGTGGTAAGAAAATATGCAAATATCGACTTAAAAGATTTTTTGTGAAAGGATCGATAAACGTGTTGGTTTTAAGGATATGTTCTGGTGAATTTTTTAGAGAATATCTTCTTAAGGATATGTAAACGTGATAGTTTTTTTCAAGCATCTTCAAATGTAAATATTTTCTGATAGACTTTCACTAGGATCTGTTGAAGGATATTCGAATATGAATATTTAGAACATTCTCAAGGACTTGTAAGCGTGAATATTTTTGCCTAGTACCTCTAAACGTAGATACTTTCTGAGAGACCTGTAAATGGGGTCTTTTTCGAAAAGAATTTGTTGATGGACATTTAAACATGGGCTTTTACATAATACTTTCAAAGGACATATATCTTCCCTCAAGGATCTCTTGAAGGACATGTATAAATATGGATTTTAAGACAATACTTTTCTCAAGGATCTGTGCAGCTGTTTCATTTTTTTTTGAGAATACTTATTCGAATGCGTATGCAACTGGATTGTAAGAACAATAAGTTCTCAGGGAGCTACAATAAAGGACATTTTCCACGGATTTATAAGCATGGATAATTTCTTAAGGACCTGCCAAGGTGAATTTTTTTTCGAGGACCCTTAAGTAAGGATATTTTCTCAAGGACCTTTAAACATGGTTTTTTAAGAAATCGTCTTCTCAAGGACCTTTTGAGATGAATTTTGTGGTGAATATCGACTCAAAAGTTGTGCAAACCTAGATTGTTTAGAGAATATGTCGTGGATATTTTCAAAAGAATCTGCCATCGTTTTTGTCAAGTACATGCAAAGGTGGATATTTTCTCGAGGACATGCCAACTTCAATATATTTTTGTCAAGAACCCGTAATCGTTGATATTTTCTCAAGGATCTGTAAGCATGGATATTTTTGGCAAGGGCCTGTAAAAATGAATATTTTTGTTAAGGACCTGCAAATTTGGATTTTTTTTCTCAAGGACATGTCAACGTTAATATATTTTTGTCAAGGACCCGTAAAGTTGGATATTTTTTCAAGGACCTATCAACGGATCCGTGAAGTTGAATATATTCTCAAGGTCCAGCCAATGTAAATATTTTTGTTAAGATCTGTTAACGTGGATATTTTCTTAAGGACCTGCCGTAAATAGTTTTGTCAAGGATCTGTAAAAGTGGATAAAATATAAATTTTCAAAATTTTGTCCACGACCTGTGCAAGTGACTTTTGTAGAGTATATCTACTCAAACACTTGTTACCGAGATTGCTTAGAAAATATTTTCCCACTGACCTATATTTTCTCAAGGGTACTTCTCAAGGACGTGTGAAAGTGGAAATTTTCTCAGGGACGTGTGAACGATTTGTAGAAAATATTTCAGAAGCATAACTTCAAGGTCTCCAGGATAGTCTTTCAAAGATCCTTCTAAATTAGGTGAGTGGTTGTAAAGAATAAGGACATTCCAATTTATAATTTTAAAATCTGCCTTTTAAGGAGTTAAAAATACTCAAAATTAAAAAAAATTAAGTAGTGTCAAGATAATTTTTAAGGACCAGTGAATGTGGATATTTTATCAAGGATCCGTAAACATATTTTTTTTTAAATATTTTTGTACAGGTCCTTTGAAAGAATATCTAATGAAATACATGCAAACCTTGATTGTTTAGAAAATATTTCCTCCTAAATCTCTATTTTCTCAAGGACCTGTGAAAGTGGTCATTTTTTGTGGACTTTAAACATGGATTTGTAGAAAATATTACTTGAAGGATAATTTCAGGGTCTTCAGAAAAGTTTTTCAAAGATCCTCCTAATTTACATAAGTAATTGTAAAGAATAAGGACCTTGAAATTCAAATGCGGATTTTAAGGAGTATTTAATTCAAACGTCTTCAAAATTAAAAAACTCAAAATTTAGAAAAAAATCAAGGAGCGTCCAAAAGGTGGTATTTTTTCAAGGATGCGTAAACATACATTTTTAAAAATTATATCCGCAAGGACTTGTGCAGGTGATTTTGTTAAAAAATATATTTTCAAAGTTCTGTAAACCTAGACTCAAGGTTCTGAATACCTTCTCATAGACCTATATTTTTATGGACCTGTTAAAGTAGACATTTTCTCACTGACGTGTGAATATGGCGATTTTCTCAAGAAGCTTTAAACATGGATTTGTAGAAAATATTATCTCAAGCATTATTTCAAGGCCTTCGGAATTCAAAATTAAATAAAAAATCAAAACTTAAAAAAAATCCAGGGGCATCAAGCTAATTATTCAAGGATCCTCTGAATATAAATGGCAATTTTTAAAGAAAAAGAACCCTTTTAAACGATGAATATTGAACTCTATAACTTGTTTAAAAATATTAAAATTTAAATGGCAATAAATGTTGGCAATTGAATATTTTGGGCCACCAGATCTCTCTCGGCATAGGAGAGATTTTTCTCTTATCAAAAAAAAAAAAAAAAAATAAATAAATAAATAAATAAAAAATAAAAATATGAATATATAAATATTAAATATTATAATAAATATATAATCTGAAGGGAAAGGTTAGAGATATTTAGCTTAAATTTGTAGTGCCATTATATAATGTTCAGAACTTATACTAAATTTCATTTCCTTCTTTCAATTTGTCATTACAATTCACTCCCTGACAAATTTACGTCAATAAAAAAAACTGTAAAATTGTTGGCTTCCTTGTTATTTTTTTTGCTTCACTTAAGAGACCATGCATCAATGGCTCTTTATTATAATTAAATCGTCGCAGAGCAAAACTTCTCCCCCAAGGGAAAAAACACACTTCAAATCAATGCAGCACACTAAAGAGCCACAATGGCAAAGGATCTTGGCTTCTTTGATTTTTTACCCCAGCCCAGCAACTTCAGTAGGCAAATCACAAAGTGCATTTATTTCCTTTTCCAATCTCTTCCTTCTTTTCATTTTGTTTTCTTTTTTGCATTTTCATTGTTGCTGAAAGCTTTCTCCTGCTCCGTTTTTTTTTTGGTTTTCCCATTTATTTGCTAGCTAGCAGTTTTATTTACTTACCGGCAACTTCGATTTCACAGAATGTGCCCACGCCCACGGAGTTGTTGGCCACACAGCGATAGGTACGTGCAATTTCATAATCTTCCTTGAGCACATAATAGCTTTTGTCCTTAAACGTTTTACTGTCACCGCTGCCCAGCGATTCAACCGATTCATTTTCAGCCTTAATTGACCATGAAAAATCGGCCTGCAATGAAAGAGAAAGAGGAAAAAATGGATAAAAGATGTGAGGTTAAAAGAAAATGGCTTGAATGTGAGTTGCAAAGGAAACAGAAGAGAAGAGGAGGAGGAGGACATGAAGGCCAGCAAAGAAATTAAATCAATGACATTAAATTGAAAAAATAAAACAGAAAATCATAAGGGTATGGCTTTGCAATAAAAGAGCTGATGACATTTCTTTAATAACAGAACCCACTCTCCCCCCATACTCTCCCCAAGCTCTCTTCAAACAAATTGAACGTAAAATGCTGCTCCTGCCATTTATTGTTGATTTTAAGTTGAATGCACTTTTTTTCGATGGGGGAGTAATGCCAAGAGTCGTAGAGAGAGTAAGGGAGAATGAGAGTTTATGTGTGTGAGTGAGGAAGTCTTTTTGTGAGTCATTTAAATGCTGTTTATATTTGTTTTAACCTTCTCCTGGTCGGTCGTTATTTCGTTTTTATCGTGTGTGTGTGTGTGTGTTTGTTTGTATTTGCTCCGTCTTTAATGACATTTAATTGCGTACAAGCCGAGAGCACCCTACGAATCTTAAAATGCCAATCAATTGAAATAAATTGTGCAGAAGAAGAGTGCAAATATTGATATTGTGACTCTTTTTTCGTCACGATTTTAATGAGGAGGGGGTTCGAAAAGGAATACCTCTTTGGCTGAGTGCTGATTAACCTTATAATTGATGGTAAGAGAAAAGAGTTTTTAATGTATAAAGAATTGCCAATACCTCAATCCATCAAGGAAAATGAGGCATAATAAGAGGCATAATGAGAGGCACAATTTTATTTTAAGGAGAGGGGAGTAAAAAAGAACCGTAGGGTCAATCTTGTTTCGTAGATTTGGTTTGATAGAGAATAGAATCTACGAAACAAAATTGACGCTATAGTTTTTTTTTTGAAAGAGTAGTGAAATAACTGACTGATTGAGAATCAACTCCCAGACGAAATGGCTGAAGCTAGAATCTTGAAATTTTGCACAAGGGTCAGTCTTTGCGTGTGGGCCAATGACACGGCTGGGTTTTTGGAAATTCGTACTAAAAGGTTACGAAAAGAACTAAATTGTAGTTAAATTTAAATATTTCGTATTGGTTAAACGGAAGCAGCTGGAATTCTGAATGAAAGAATTGGAATGAGAGTCACTGATGGAGTGCAGAATAGATGGACCAAAGATTTTTTGGGAATCAAAACTTCCGAGTCACGAAAAGTTCTAAAATTGTACTATACTTCTAATATGGTACCATTTGGTATTATGTGAACGGAAAGAGCTTAAAACTTGAAATTTGGTATGAGAATTCAGGTTGGAAAGTAAGATTGATATATAAAGGTAGTTCTGGAAATATGTACGAAGTTTGGGAACTATACGAAATAGTACTACATTTGGAACAGTTTGGTTCAGGGTGAGGGGATGCAGCTCAAACTTTGAAATTTTGTATCGAGGTCCCTGTTATGGTAGATTTGTGATAAATAGGTGATTTCGGAAATATGTACTAAAAGTGCACGAAATGTACTAAATAGTACTATAGTTGGTACAATTTGGTATTGGGTGAACATATATTGCTTGAAATCTAAAATTTTGCAAATATGTCGTGTTTTCGGAAATATGTACTATAATCGTACAAAAAGTCCTATATGGTACTAAATTTGGTATTGGGTGAAGGAGTAGAGATAAAATTCTGAAATTTGTTATTTAGATGACTTATGGTATCTGTGTTTCAGATTTGGTGGTGGTTTGGAAATGTGTCCCATTTTTGTGCGAAAAGTACTAAATGGTACTAAATTTGGTATTGGGGGAAGGGATACTTCAGGAATCCTCAAATTTGATACTGAGGTCTCTTTTGGTATCTAGAAATGAGATATGAAGGTGGTTTGGAATTGCATCCTATATTTGTACGAAAAGTACTAAATGGTACTAAATTTGATATTGGGTGAAGCGATATGGCCGGAATTCTCAAATTTGATATTGAGGTCTTTATTGGTATCTGTGCTTGAGATTTGGATGTGGTTGTGGAAATGCGTCCTATAGTACGAAAAGTACCAAATTGTACTAGATTTTGGATTCATTGCGGGAATAGAGCTGATATCCTGGAATTTGACATTGAGGTCACTGTTGGTGTCTGTGGTAAAGATATGCATATGGTTTTAGAAACGCGACCTATGTTTGTAAGAAAAGTACTAAATGGTACTTAATTAGTTACTGGGTGAAGGGAAAGTTTTGGTACCCTCAAATTTGATATTGAGGTTTCTGTTGGTATCTGGTATGGAGATATGGCGGTGGTTTTTCAAATGCGTCCTATATTTGTACGAAAAGTACTAAATGGTACTAGATTTGGGATTGAATGAAGTGATAGGGCTGGAATCCTCAAATTTGATATGGAAGTCTCTATCGGTAGTTGAGTTTGGGATTTGAAGATGGTTTGGAAATGCGTCCTATATATAAGGGATAGGGCTAGAATCCTCAAATTCGGATTTAGATGTCACTGTTGATATCTATGGTCAAGTCATGGAGGTGGCTTTGGAAATGTGTCCTATATTGGTACGAAAAATACCAAATGGTATTAAATTTGTTATTGGGTGAAGGCATACTTCTGGAATGCTCAAATTTGACACTGATGTCGCTGTTGGTGTCTGTGGTGCAGATATGGTGGTATTTTTGGAAATGCGTCCTATATTTGGACGGAAAGTGCGAATTGGTACAAAATTTGGTATTTAGTGAATGGATAGGGTTGAAATCCCGAAATTTGATATTTAGATCTTTGCAGGTATCTGGAATTGAGATATGGAGGTGATTTCGGAAATGTGTATTATAATTGTACGAAAAGTACAAAATAGTAATTAATTTGGCGAAATTTGATATTGAGGTCTCTGTTGGTGTCTGGGATTCAGATATAGACTAGTTTTTCAAATGCGTCCTACATTTGTACGAAAAGTACTAAAATGGGTATTGGGGTAAGAGATAGGGCAGGAATCCCGAAATTTGATATTTAGGTCTTTGCAGGTATATGGAATTAAGATATAGAGGTGATTTTGGAAATTTGTACTAAAATTGTACAAAAAGTGAAAAATAGTACTTAATTTGGCGAAGTTTGATAGTGAGGTCTCTGTTGGTATCTGGGATTGAGATATGGAGGTGATTTTTCAAATGCGTCCTATATTTGTACGAAAAGTACTAAATCGTACTAAAATGGGAATTGGCTGAAGGGATGTGGCTGGAACCCCGAAATTTGATATTGAGATCTCTGTTGGTATCTGGATTTGAGGTATGGGCCAGTTTTGCAAATCTGTACTGTAATTGTTCGAAAATAGTAAAATTGTTGGGTCACTGCTGGTGTCTAGGATGAGGAGATGTAGATTTTTTGGATGGTATTGGATGAAGGGATAAACATAAAATTCTGTTTCTAGGGTTTACATATGGAGACATTGAGATAGTTTTGGACAGAAAAAATTGATGCGTATCCATTGTGCAAGGGTTTGAAGAATTTTTGTTGTAGAAGGTTAACATTATATTATTACTTTTTCAAAAAAAAAAAAAAAAACTCAAACAATATATAAAACCTTGGATTAAAAATGTTGTCAAACTGAAGAAATCGTGTATTTTGAGTACTAAAGAAGCCGAACATGAACGCTTGGAACGAATATAAAATTTTAAGGTTATGTATTCGCTGACGAAATTGCAGGCACTTGCTGGTATATATGGGCTCTCATTCGAATATTGTGTAATCCGTAGAGCATATTTAAAAAAAAAACACTCCTCTATTGCCATACCTCCATCAGGTTAGAATTATGGTTTACAAAATCGCCGAATTTTTTTAAAAAAAAAAAAAAAAAAAAAAAAATTCGCAGCAAAAATATTCCATTTAAATATTTTCCATGGCAATTAAATTAAATTTTCATTTATTTCATTTTTAATAAAAAAAATTATTTTCCCCCAAATAATATCTCATTTTCAAGTTATACCCCTTAAATTACATTACACACACAACAAGTCAAAATGTTATTACACGAATGTTTTTTATTTTTCTATTTTTTTATTTATTTATTTGTAACTTGCAACCAGCAACAACTTGTTTCAGAAATTTCGTGATTTTTAAAACCAGACATGGAATTGGCTCCACTCCCCTAGACTACCTAGCTAGCAAGCCATCCAGCCAGCCAGCCAACTTGGAAGCTAACAAAATATCATAAAAATTGAAAACTCTTGTTAAATGTTGTACATTTTTGGTTTACTTCGTCATTCGTTCATTCATTTATTCATTCATCCGTTCGCTTATGGTTGTCGAAAAAATCGCTGGTTCTGCTTATTTCTCAAAGGTGTAGAATAGAGAAAAAAAAAAACAACAACTACGAATCCACACAACAAACTTTTACTGCAACTGAAAATAAAACCGAAAATTGATGTATGGTTTTTCGGGGCAACATCAGGCACTCCCACACCCGCACAAATGTAATTTTCCCCCTGTTGCTATTGCAGTTTGTTGTTATTGTTTTTGGTTGTTGTTCCTATGACTTGGCTATGAATGCATTTTTGGTTTAAATGTGAAATGTGGCAAAAACACGCCAACAGCATCAGCAGAAAAAAACAACAACAAGAACATGGGGGTTACTACAAAACCAAATGATATAAGTCCGGGCAATGTATTTATGGGAAGTTGGAATGTATAGCAAATAGAGGTGGAATAGAGAGAGAGAAGAACTTTGGAAAAAACGGCACGTCCTTTGGTCTCATAAACAATCATATTAAACATGTCTTGTAGTTTATGTGAAAAAAAACTAAAATTTAAGGTGTCAAGGGAGTTAAAGGAAAAATTCAATTGTTGAAATACCATCAGAAGAAAAATTTGGATTTAAAAAAAAAAAAAAAAACTTAAAAATATCATCTAAGCTGAATGCGTGGGGTTTTAAAATTATCTTTGAAGATTTTTATTGAAATTCTTTTTTTACATATCTTTGAAGTCTATAGCATATTCCTTAAGCCTTAAGCATATTTCCCAAGCACCATCAGGACTACAATCGTTATTTCCTTGGAGGTATTTAATCAATAGAATAAAAGTTTTCTTTTGCTGAAAATTTTTGAAAAAATGGCGCCCAATATAAAATTGTATATAATTTTTTCTATGGCGCCCAACGTGAGATTTTTTGGGTGTGTCTTTTAGTTATGGTTTTTTTAGAACAGTGTTGGCTTTTTTGTTCGGGATACCATACTATTTTGTTGTTGCAAAATGGTCAGGCTTAATCCCTTTATTGATGTTTTTATAAACAAAATATGGTTTTTATACCCTCCACTATGCATGCTATGGAGGGTATATTAAGTTTGTCATTCCGTTTGTAATTCAACGAAATAATAATGTTAGACCCTGTCCATCCGCCCGTCTGTCTCTCCGTCTGCTGTAATCAAGCTAGAATCAAAACGAATTAAGATAAGAAGCTAAAAATTTGCACAGAGCTGTCTTTTGTCGACAGGCAGATCAAGTTCGAAGATGGGCTATATCGGTCCACAATATCGAATAGTCCCCATATAACGGTACCCCTCGATATTCGACATTTTGATGATTTTAGGCACATTTTTCAAAGGCATTGTCTTCAATTCTACACAAGAAGTTCATTGCGGGTACTTTACTCCCTGGAAGAGAATTGTATATATAGGACCACAATATCGTATATCACCTCCCGATATTGGGTATTTTGATGATTTTAGCCACAATTTTCAATGGAATTGTCTTAAAATCAACAGGAGTTCCTTCTAAGTACTCCACCCCCTGAAAAAGAATTGTCTATATAGGTCCAAGATATCGTATATCTCCCGGCATTCGGTATTTTGATGATGTTAGTCACAGTTTTTAATGGCATTGTCTTCAATTCTACACAAGAAGTTCTCTGCGAATACTTTACCCCCCGAAAGGAAATTTTTTGTATAGGTTCACGATATCGTATAGCCCCCATACAATGTTACCCCCCGATATTCGGTATTTTGATTTTTTTAACCACATTTTTCAATGGAATAGCCTGAAAATCCACACAAGGAGTTCTCTCTGAATACTTTACCCCTGGAAGAGAATTGCCTATATAGGTCTACGTTTTAGTATAGCACCCATATAACGCTACCCCGAGATATTCGGTATTTCGAGGATTTTCGCAAGACGGAACCTATGACGGAAATTTTTCTATGCAGGTCCACGTCTTAGTATAGCCCCTTATACAAAGGTATCTCCCTTTTTTCGGTATTTTGATGATATTAGAGACATTATTCAGCGGAATTGTTTCGAATTTCGTATTTGAAGTTCGGAATCGGTACTTCGTCCTATGACGGAAAATTACTTATCCAGCACCACGTCTGCCTATAGCCCAAATATAAAGGTTTTTATTTGAACGGTATTTTTCGACAGATTTTTTTTTCGAAATCTTTTAAGTTTCTTCCGAATGGTGGAGAGTGTAAAAAGTTCGACAAAATAACGCCAACCAAAAATATAGTATTGCTGAAAATTCCTTTAAATGCGCCAAAAGTAAGAATGTTTTTGTCGTCCCATTTATCATTTGAATGACTGTTTCTCATGGTTTATTAATTTTGATGAAGTGGCGCCCAACAAAAAATTTCGTTTTGTTGAAAAATGTTTTTTCTAATGGCGCCCAACATAAGGCTGTTTTGGTCGTTCATGTTCAAGAAGGCTTTTTTAGGTCTGCGTGTTTTTTGTTCAAATATAAATTTTGTGAAAATGACTCCCAACATTAAATTAAGTTTTACTGCAAATACTTTTTCTTGATTTAGTAATTTTCAATCTTAGAGACTTCTCATCACAAACTAATTTTGGCGAAATTACATTTTCTTAAAATGGCGCCCAATGTAAGACTTCTTGGGTCTTCCTTTGCATTGATATTGATGGTAGATTATTTTTTATTTTTAAATTGAAAATTTCTCATCATCCCTCAATTTTGTGGAAATGGCGCCCAACGTAAAATTTCACGTTATTGAAATTGTATGCATTTTATTGGCTTTTTCTTTAAATATTTTTGTAGCGACTTTTTGATCAATAATTCTGGAATTTTTAAGAATATCTTTGAAAGAATTTCATATTTTTCTAGTAGGTCTTTAAAGGAGATTTATGTCATAAATCCTGGATTTTTAAGAATCTGTTTTAAGAACTTTCATAGGAATTTGCTCTTAAATTTTTAATAAAAGTTTAATAAATTTTCAGGACAATAATCCTTTTTTTAATCTAAATTTTTAATAAAATCAAATCTCAAAGTTTCGTAGAAATATTTTTTTCCAAAAATTATAGTTATATATTTCATTGATGATAGAGATCATAAAAAATTATTGCAAACCTGTCAGGCTGGGTTGAAATGGAAAAAAAAAACATCTACCCCCATAAAACTAACACACGCACAATTTCCCCAGGTAATATGACCAGTAATCCATGCCGCCAACACCATCCCCCCCTTCATCAGTTATCTCTTAGCCATCAGTCGCTTTAAACACTCACTTAACAGTCTATGGCTTTGGGTATCAATAACTTTGCGTAACGTTGTCTACATGTGTGTTTGTTTTCATATAACACACACTCATACACACATGAAACCTTAATATTGGTTTCTATCATGTGTGCGTGTGTGTGTGCAAAGCCTAAGGACCAAAAACCAAAGATTGTGGTTTGAGTTGGTTGTAATGTGTCTCCAGTGAAGTGGTGGATGCGATGGGCTTTCACAGCAACCAGTAGACAACAATAACAACAACAACGATGGCAGTAACGAAAATATTGCATAGCTAACATTTTGATAAAGGACAATGAAGGATGACGTCGGTTGCTATGCAATATGTATGTGTACATTTTTTTGTGTAACGGATATATTTTTAAATTGTTTTCACCGGAACAATGACTCTTTAACTGCTTAACTGCAAGGCAGACAACCTGGCAGCCATGTCAGTCCAATAAACAAACAAATAGACGGACAGACTGGCGGGTAGACTGAACGATAACCGCCATGGCATCAGACCCTTGTAATGCATTGAACCCTGCAAGTAATAGGTTATCGATGGCCCATCATCAGTTGTGTTATTATGGAGAGGTGATGTATCGTCTCGTTTTTTGTTGCATGTGGTTGGTTTCATAGTGTGTGTGAGGCAGTATGTCTGTGTATATGTTTTTGTTTTATGGTATGGTAACGTCCTACAAAACCATTTTCAATTGTTTGTTTGTCTGCATGCTCTGTTGTGCTTACCTCTTCCGGATTGCCATATGCTGTACAAATTAATGTATCCTGATCATCGATCTCTACTCTTTCGATTTCACAGCGGGGTTTGTCTGCAATGAAAAGGAGAAGAGATGTGGTTAAAATTTAAATAAAAAAAGGAAAATTTAATTCCTAAAAGATAAAAAATAAAAGATTAAAACTTGAGAAAAAATATATTTAACGATTAAGGCATTTTTTGGAAATGGCGCCCAACGTCAAAATTTGTTATTTTTTGTGAACTTCATTGTAGACTTGGATTATTAAAATAAAGTAGAAATACATGAAGGCCTTGGAACACCAGTTGTTCAATTTTTAAAAATTTCGCAGTGGCGCCCAAATGAAGGCATCTGTCTACTATTAAGGCATATTCTACTATTGAGGCATTTTTTGGGAAATGGCGCCCAACATCAAAATTTGTTATAGTTTTGTAAACTCCATTGTACACTTTGATTTTTGGAGTCAAGCTGAAATAGATGAAGGCCTTGGAACACCAGCTTTTCACTTTTGTAATAAATTTCCTTGTGGCTTCCAAGTGAAGGAAACTGCTTCATAGCCGTTGTTTTGATCAAATATCAAAGTGTAGACATATTCCTCACATTTGATTCATTTAAAAAATACTGCGTATGGTTGTGTAGTAAGTTAACGTTTTCTTTTTCAAAATGGCGCCCAATGTGAAGTTCTTGATATTCTTTATTAATAATATTTAAAAGAAAAAAAAAAAAAAAAAAAAAAAAAGAAAACAGAAAAAATTTAGACATGGGGACGCTGTTTTGTTTTATTCTCTGTCATTTGAAGATTTTGAAGAGGAAGTCTTCAATCTCTATACAACATGAGAAAGTTTTTTTGTCTTTAAGAGACCTACTGGAAATATTCTGGTTATAAATCACTTATTAAATATTTCTGCCTGAAAAAGGTTTGGAAAAGCCTTCAATCGACAAAATTCCACCCCGATGTTTTTGAGGATGTGGGCTATTTTTCGAATAGTGGTGCCCAACGTACACATTTTTAAAATTGGTATTAATAATATTTTTGGGGTTTTGAGAAAATAAAATCATGGCTAAATTTTTGATACAAATTTTGGATTTTTTTCTGTAATTTGAAGGTCTATAGAAGGTCTTTTGTCTCTAGACAACCTTGAGGGGACTTTGGTGTGAAGAAAACCTTCGGAAAATAGGCTATGCCCATACAATGCTCTGTCGAAAAAAGATATGGGAAAATGTAAGAAACCCTTCCTGATTATTTTCTATTAAAAATAAAGGCTTTTTTCAAACAGTTTGGGAAAAATAAGGTCTTAATATCAATAGTTGGTCATATTCCCCGAATATTCGCCATATTCCCCAATAAGATTTAGATCATAAACAATAAATATTGGGATCATTTTTTTTTTTTTTCACATTTTTTCCAAACGGAGCCCAAATCTTTAATATTTCGAATGACAATTTCCCAGTGGTTCTTTATTTTGGGAAAGGTTGAATTGTCTTTGGAAGTTCTTCGGAAAATCGACGATGCCCATAAAAGGCGTGGGGAAATAATTTATAAGTCCTTCTTGATTATTGTCCAATTTAGGAAAAAAGGGCTTAAGATCAATAGGTGGTCACCTTTTCTACCAAGTTTTTTGGTGGCGTCCAAGTAAAGGCTTTTGCACATTTATTAGTTTCATAATATCACCATATTCCCGAATAAGATTCCGTTTATAAAATATAAATATTGGGATCAAATTTTGTATTTTTGAAAATTAAAAATTTTAAATGGAGCCCAAATCTTTAATCTTTCGTATGACACATTTCCAGTGTTTCTTTATTTTGTGGAAATGGCGCCCAACGTTGAATTGTCTTTAGAAGACGTTTGGAAAATCGGCTCTGCCCATAAATGCTTTGTCCAAAAAAGGCCTTGGAAATCATTGAACAGCCCTACCTGATTATTTTCCTTTAAAAAATGGGGTTTCTTTAATAGTTTAGGAAAAATAGGGCTTAGAAACAATGGTTGGTCGCCTTTTCTGTCAAGTTTTCGTTGGCGCCCAAGTGAAAGCTTTCTTCATTTAAAGGCATTAATTTGATTAAATTTATAATAGAGCCATATTCCCGAATTAGATTCGGTCCATAAAATTATATTTGGATCAAATGTTGTATTTATGACATTTTCTTTCAAATGGCGCCCAACGTAAGATTTGTTTATTTCAAGATCAGGTCAAGTTTTAATCTTTTGAATGACAATTTACCACTATTTCTTTATTTTGTGGAAATGGCGCCCAACGTAGAAAGTTGTATTTCTGATAATTTTCTTTTGAATGGCGCCCAACGTAGAATGTTATATTTCTTCTAAATGGCGTCCAACGTAAGTTCTTTGGTAAGATTTCATGTCAGGCTTTATAGATTTATTTTAATTTTAATGATGTTAATTTATGAGATACGAGTAATTCTTCGAATTTGCAATTTTTGTGAAAATGGCGCCCAACGTAAGAAAGTCGTATCGATTTTTTCAATGGCATCCAATTCCTTTTCGATTATTTTTAATTGAATATAAATATGTTTTCATTTAAGGAATGCTTTTTTTATTTGCTTAATAATTTTGAGGCAATGACGCCCAATTTAAAAATTTATTTACAACGTAAAATTTTTTTGTGTTACTTTTTAATAATGCTTTTCTGGAGAGAAAAATTTTATCCTTAGAGTGAAAGTTCTCATTGTGTATTGATTTTGTAGAAGTGGCGCTTAACATCGTACATTGGGCGCCACTTTTTTTGCTGGCCATTTTTTAATTGGTGCCCAGTGTTTGGCTATTTTTGGAAACACATCTCGAATGATAATTATTCGGATGTATGAGCAATTTTAAATTTTTTTTTGCATGAGTAATTTTTAAAAAACAATTCCTGGAAGTGGCGCCCAACGTAAAAAATTGCATTTAGGAAATTGTCTACTTTACAATTAGTTATTTTTAGGCACCGAACTAAAGACTTTTGTTTCCAAAAATTGGGCCTAAGGATCCTATATGAAAATTTTCATTGCGGATTTAATAGAATATTAAAATATGGATCTTCCAGACATGCTTTGAAGGCTGTTTTGTCTCTAGAAAACCTTTAGTAAAACTTCCAGCTTTAGAAATCTAATAAGGTCTGTTTTGCCTATAAAAAAAATCTGAAGAAGTTTATCAGTTATCGATGTCCTTTCGAATCCAATTTTTACATTAAATTTTATGCTCTGATACTTTTTGTGCCTCTTCAAAAATTTAATCCTTGGAGTCTCTTAAAGTTGACCTCAAATCTCCACATAAAAAATCTCCATAAATCGAATAGTTAAGTCTCTCCCCACAAAAAATATGCTTGCTTTTTATTAAACCATTATTGGTAAATTTGTGGGTTTATTAAATTTTATCCTTTTCAATACCAAATGTCCCTTTCACAACCCTACCCTGAGCCATGACAACCAAAAAATAAGAAAACACAAAAAAAAATCACTGTCGCATCACACTCTTTTTGAAGCCTTTGACAAACGAGATTAAACCTCAACTTATTTCCTTTTGTAAACACATGTCACAGACCCATACATTCACACCAAAGCCTTATTAATAAAAACCTCAAATAACAACAACAAAAAAACAGGATCTTTTGCCATAGAAATGAGAACAATACTTAGCAAAAAAGCAGCAAAAACAACAAACATTTGGGCATCCCATCCAACCGACCAACCAACTTTATGCCATAATCATAACAATCAACACCAAATGTTACCAACAACAGGTTCAATAACCAGAACCCATTGACGAGACACGAACAACAACAAACCGAAACCATATCAAAGCGAAAAATATAAACCGGAAAAAGGACATAATCAAAAACATACTCAACAATATCCTAGCAAATTTTTATAAACCCTTTTTTTCGTAGTTGTTGTTTGGCCCCATCACCACAACCACAACTGTTGTTATAGACTGGGCGTATTGGCCACAGCTTTGATGGAGGCAACTCGTTTTTGGCCTATTGATGATGTCTAGATGTTGGCTGCCTGGCTATGGATAAATAGATGACGGTTTTTTCGATGACTGTTTTGTTAACTAACCGGCAAAAGCATTGGTCACATATGGAGGACAGCCCGGCGCAGAATACAAAAGGTCACAACAACCGCAACACACAACTTATTTGACGAAATGAAACAATGTTTGTGTCGGGAATTAAAAAAAATACAAGAATGAGTAAAAAAAAAATCAAACGAAAAGGAGAAAATTGAAAATCTATAAACATTGTTAAATGTTGCCATGTTGACAAATGAAAAAAAAAAAAAAAAAGAAATTAAACGAAATTCATTGAGGAAAAATTGAAGGAGGAAGGTATAACATTTGAGGCAATTTCGGTGCAAATCCTAGCTTAAATAGTACGGAGATTATTGTTCGAAATATATCTCTACTAAGTTCAATTTGTCATAGCTTTTCAAAATTGTTGAGGGTTCCATTGTTCTTTTTTTGGATACGATAACCTCTGATGGGTAAATTAATTATAATTCATATAATTTGATTATAATTCATGATATTTGAAAGAAAAACTCGCATTCTGTGTATTCTTTTTTTTTAAATATGGCGCCCAACGTAAAATTATAGTTTTTTACAGTAATACATTGGCTATTTGACTTGTTTGGAAAATATAGGATGATATGATAACTTGGGAAAACCATTTGCTTTCTTTTGCAGCTAAAGGTGTTTAGGCGCCCAAGCAAGGACTTCACATGCTATGTCAATTATTGATTTTATTTCACAAGTAGCAAATTTTGCGAAACTATAGTTAGTTTTCCCAATTTTAGTTAAGAAATTAACATTTTTCTTGTTGTATACATTTATTTTAAAATGGCGTCCAAGGTAGGATTTTTTTTGGTTTTCTGCTTTCTTGGTATTTATTTAAAGATTTGGGTTATTTGAATAATTTTTAATAAAAAACTTTAAAAATGAGAAATATTTTTAAGTTTTATTAGATATTTTGGGACTCTTTATAAAAAATCTCAATTAGTTTTATTAAAGTGGCGCCCAACGTAAGATCTAGTTTTCTGTATTTTTTGACATATTTCAGACATTTGGTTTATTTGCGGAAGTAAAGAAGCCCAAACCGCCTATGAAGACCTGTTGTCGACATTTGTAATACATATAATATTTTGGCGCCCAAGTAGAGGCATTTGTTGGTTGGCTATATTTAAGATTATTTCTAAAACTGCACATACTTCTGCCATTCGTTTGGAAAACTGTATAACTTTAAGTTGAAAAAATGTCGTTGCTGATTTTTTTTTTTTTTTGGGAATGCCTTGCAACGTAAGGTTCGTTCGCCTTTTTTCTTTCTCAAAAATCTCAATTGGTTTTATTAAAGTGGCGCCCAACGTAAAATTTATTTTTCTGTTTTTTTGTGACATATTTCAGACATTTGGTTTAATTGCCAAATGTCTGAAATATGAACCGAACCGAATAAGAGCCGCACATAATTTTCCAATTCAATGCACTTTCCTTTCCTGTGGAGCCTTAGGAAGTTTTTTTTTTTTTTTTGTAATTGAAGCTCTGGAAATGGCGCTCAACGTAAAATTTGTTCCCCTTTCATTTTCCCACAAAAAGCTTGGGAATGTAAGCTTTTTCGGATTAGGTTTTAAAATTTTATAATTTTATGCAGTTTCTTAATCTATAAAGCCTTAGGTTGAAAATTCCTTGTTTTTGATGTTTATTTTTTTTTGTAGAAATGGCGCCCAACGTAAAATTTGTTCGCATCTCTTTTTTTTTCAAAAATCTTGGGAGTATAAGCTGTTTTGGATTATGTTCTCAAAATTTTATAATTTTATGCAGTTTCTTAATCTATAGAGCCTTAGGTTGAAAATTCCTTGTTTTTGATGTTTTTTTTTTTTTTAATGGCGCCCAACGTAAGATTTGTTCGAATCTCTTTTTTTTCCTCAAAGAGCTTGGGAATAAAAGCTTTTACGGATTATGTTCTCAAAATTGTATAGGTTTTTTAATGCGAAGCCTTGAAAAAATATCCTTATTTGATAATGGCGCCCAACGTGAGAATATATATTGTTTCTAATTTAAGTGAAATTCATTGGGATTTTTTTTTTCAAATTATCCACTGAGGACAAAATAATGGCCTGTAAAGGCAAATTGTATAATTTTGCAAAAATATATCCTTTCCTATAGTGGGCTTATCAAAGTGGCGCCCAACATAAAATTTGTTTTGTTTCTGGTTGATACATTGCTGATATTTGGCATATTTGTATTAAAAATGAAGGTATAATCTCTTGAGATAACCAAAGGTAGACATTCGCAAAAAGTTTTATTTTGGAGTCCGACGGCAAGAGCGCCAAAATAAAATTCAATGGCCTTTGGTTTTTTATTGTATTTCCATAAATCCAAGTTATTTTCTCTAACTTAGAATTAAAATTCCACACCCTTGGTGCATTTTTGAAAATGGCGCCCAATCAAAAGTTTTTGATGCTTCCTTTAATAACATTCACCAACCATGTGAGTTATTTTGACAAATGCTTGGATAAATTAAGATGTTTGAGCTATAGTTGTATACTTTAGAACTTTTATTCTTAGGAATTTTACTAAAATGGCGCCCAACGTAAGATTTTTAGATTTTTTATTTATTTATTTATTTTTTGTATTTTTGTTAGAGGATCTCATTTTTATTAGTTTTTCGAAAAACTTTCGGGATCGAAAACAGTTTTTTAAATCTAAATGATTTTTTAAAATAATTTTTTGAGCACCCGAGATTATTAAAAATGTTTTTTGGAAAGATTTATAAACTTTTATTTTTTTATCGGAGGTCATTAAAACATTTTTTGGAAAGATTTAAGAACTTTTAATTTTTTTTTATCGGAATTTTTATTAAAAATGTTCATACTTTGGCAATTTTATATATTCGGGAAGCTAATTATGGAGTACATAAAATTCGTTTGGGGTTGTTCCAGCGTTTTAATACTTTTTGCCTAAAATGAAATTTTCCATACCCAAGCTGAATGTGTTCTGTGTTTTCATACCTCCCTCGAGTGAACGATATTCGGAAAACAAAATTCATTTATTTTTATATTTCGTTGATGTTTTCGTTTTTTTTAATTTATATATATTGGTTTCTACTTACATTGAACATCAATGACAGTTTCGGCGGAACTGCGTCCATGTTTGTTGTAGGCCACACAAGTGTAACGACCGCTATCGTTGCGGGTCATGGGTGTATTGATGATTAAAGCATTGCCACGAATAACAGTTTTGTCATTGAAACGCCATTCATAAGTGGGTTCTGAAAATAAAAAGATAACAAGGGAAAAATGGAAAATATTGAGAACACTGACACACGCCCACAGACAAAGACAAAAAGAGATTGGGTATCGGCATAAGCCAACCATTAAAGTCATAAACAATAATATTTTTGTAGTGGAACAAAACAAAAAAAAAAAGCTCTGCGACCCATACTATCACAATTAAGTGGGAGGCGTTTTGAGTTGCTTTGTTTTGTTTCGTTTCCAGCTAGTGGCACTTACCAGGATTAGCTCTCGATTTACATATGACACGTCCCGGTATTGTTTCCTCTGGTACATAAACAACTTCTTCGGATACAGTGGTATTATCGGGTGCATCTGTCACATGGAAAAGTGGGTGGCGAAACAATTCAGCAAATATTTGAAAAAAAAAAAACGGAAAATAAAGAGAATGAGGCCATGATGGGCTTAAAAGTCACAAAAATATGTACATTTTTATATTTTTTGATAAATCCTTTTTTTTTTTTTGCCTTTGATGTTAACCCACAAAACCAAACAACAACTGCAATCAACTATTATACAAGCGACACATATGTCAGGGGTATTTTAAACATTTTTTTCTCTTTCTCCCCAAACCGATAAATGGAAATCTCCATTCTGAGTTTTTTTTTTATAAAGTTTGCTTCACATGATGGAAGAATATTATCTAGATTTTTGCCGGGCGTTTCGTTTGGTTTGTTTGCCATTGTTGTTTGGTTTCCAGCCTTTATGGGATTTATTTTGTTTTTTTGTGGAGTTTTTATTTCTTTTGCTTGACATGCCATCACATCGATAGCAGCAGGCAAAACCCCAAAGCTTTCTTTCTCATATTTTTTTTTTTTGGTTTCGCAAAAAATAAAACTTACATTCGATACTGAAATAAGTGGCACTTTTGATGCCCGGTCCCACAGCGTTGCCAGTCGAAATGCATGTGTAATTGGCATTATCTCCTTCAATGTCAAATTTGTTATTTGGCCAATTGGACATATTAAAATGCTGCAAGCGTACATGGGGGAGAATGGCGGAGAAAACAAACAAAAGGATTAATATCATAAAGAGAAAGAAAACAAAAGTTTTCAAAAGAAAATGGGTCACATAGTGAAGTGTATGATTGTCTGGCTGAAATTGAAACTGTAAAGGATTTGAATATGAAACTCTTGAAGAATATTTTTTTTTTTTAATTTAAAAAAATGCAAAATAAAAATAGAAGGCAGGGGAATCTCATCGCCATGGAACACTGGAAATCGAATCAAATGTATTCAATTTTTTACAAAAATTATTATAAGTCCAGAAAAAATAAGATCAAAATAGACGGTTGTCGATTGGAAAAAATGGTCAAGACCCTTGCAAAAAATAAAGTTTGGAGGATAAATCGGAAATATCGTTACAAGGGTACTTTTCCAAGAAGAGGACCGATATGTCTCATTTTTAGTAGCATTGCCTCTGGATATAACTCGAAGATCTCTTTAAAATTTCAAAGCTTTATCCTAAGTATTACGAAATATGTCTCGAACTATAAGGCATCCTTTTTTATATAGAACTAAAACAATATAGACGCCTAAAAAACATTTGGCCTTAGAACCCAAAAATGGTCAAGACCCCTGCAAAAAAATAAAGTTAGGAGGATAAATCGGAAATATCGTTACAAGGGGACTTTTCAAAAAAAAAGAGGACTGATATGCCCCATTTTTAGTAGTTTTGATATTGGATATAATTCGAAAATTTCTTTAAAATTTCAAAGCTCTATCTTAAATATTGCGAAATATGTTTCGAACTATAGGCATCCTTTTATATAGGACCAAAACAATATATACAACATTTGGCCTAAGAACCCAAAACTCCTTAAGGTTTTTTGATCCACAAACGGGTTCTATCAAGTCCCTTTGATCCCCTTTTTCATAACCCAGACTGACTATTGTACAGTGAAATTATTAGAACATTTGCAGCGATTTCGAAAGGAGTTATATATTTTTCAGAAATAATGAAATTTTTTTTTTTTAACAAAAATTTATGATTTTTTTCCATGGTATGTATTAATTATACAAATTTCTGTTGTTCCGAGACCAACAATAAAATTTGATCTAGAATAATTATTCCTTTGACACTTTCTTCAAAAAATGAAGTTTTAATGGAGATTTTGGCTCGTAAATTTATAGTAAAATAGGCGCAAAAACATAACATTCACTTTTAGGACTTACATTTTGAATGTGATTTTCATAAAAATCTATTATACTTAGGTATATGATTTATTCAGAGATTTATAGTGAAATTTTGTGTAGAATATTTATTCTTTTAGTAGATTTTACCTAAAACCAAAGTTTCTGTTACTTTGAGGCCTTAAATCGATAAAAGTCCTATAGAAAATTTATCAAACATTTTTTGATATATTTTTAGTTTTTTTTTTTTTTTTGTCAACATTGATGGAAACATTTTTTTGATATGCAATGAAAATAGAAACTTCTTTTCTTTGGTGGCTCATCGTAAAATTTGATGTAGAATAATTCTGCCTTTGACACTTTGACTAAAAAATGAAGTATAAAGGGAGATTTTTGACTCGGATTGGTTCCGCAGTAAAAAAGCAAATCTACCTAATTTTAATTTTTAGTTCATACATTTGGAATGTAATTTTCATAAAAACTGTTGCACATAGATATGTGATTTATTCCGAGATTTATCGTAAAATGTTGCGTAGAATATTTCTTTATTTGGCACCATCCGCCTAAAACGAAATTCGATGGTACTTTCAGCTTCAACTCGAAAAAAGTGCAAGGAAAAATTAAATAAAATGAATTAGGCAATATTTTCATTTTTTTTTGCAGCATTGATACCAATTTATTTTTTTTCTTTGATATGCAATGGAAATAGAGACTCCTGTTTTTTGGTGACTTATGATGAAATTCGATATAGAATGATTCTCTCTTTGACACATTTCCAAAAAACTGAAGTATAGAGGGAGATTTTGGCTCGGATTTGCTACGTATTAAATTCGCAGTAAAAAATTTTTAGTTCATAAATGTTGAATGTAGTTTTCTTAAAAAACTATTGTATAAAGGTAAATGATTTATTAGGAGATCTATAGTGAAACCTTGTTTAGAATATTTCTTCTCTTGACACCTTCTGCCTAAAATAAAATTTTATGTCATTTTCAGCGTCAACTCGAAAAAAAAAAATATTTTCTTGATATGCAATGAATATTGAAATATGAAGAACTGAGGCCTTTCAAGCTGATGTTGTGCTGCAATTTGAGACATTAAAAAAACTGAAAGAACTGAATCTTATTCTTTTTCCTGGGAATATTTGAAAGGACTATCAGAGCCAAAGAACTTGGATAATTCTGAGGAGACTACTATTTTTTAAAGAATTTTTAAGGATTATTTTTGAAGCACAATGGGAAATGGTGAATGTTTTCAAGTACTGTCAATCCCACAATTTTTCTGGATTTTAAAAATTGTGAGATGTAGAACCCTGGAATCCAAAGGGTTTTTAAGGACTATAACTGCTAAAATTGTGAATTAGGTCATGAATATTGCCAAAATTGTGAATAAGGTCATGAATATTTTTCGAGGACAATGAGAGCCAGTATTAGGTATTTTCATGGAATATATATATATATATATATATATATATATATATATATATATATATATATATATATATATATATTTTTTTTTTTTTTTTTTTTTTTTTGTAACGACTAGAGCTCGTATCTTGGACTTCAAAAGAATTTTTAAGGATAATGATATCTAGAATGGTGGTATATGAGCAAATATTTGTTCAAGGACTAGGAGTGTTCAAGGAGTTAGAATCGTGGATTTTAATGCGATTTTAAGCCAAGGTTGGGCGTTGGGCTATAATGGGATCTTTTATAGAATATTTTTCAAGGAATATGAAAGCTAGAATTATTTATTTTTAACGTACAAAATCTCGTTTTTTAAATCCCATTTTGTGAAAATGGCGCCCAACCTAAAGTTGGTTTTCTTTCTGTTTTTTCTGATATACTTTAGTGCTTTGACTTTTTTGAATAAAAAGAAAAAATACTAAAGGAAAGTATAACACCAGTTGCCTGCTGTAAAAAATAGTCTTGGCGCCCAACGTAGGATAAATGATATAACCCAAATTATTTTATAACAAAACTATACTATAAAAACACATTTTTGAAAAAAAAAATATTGGGTTTTTTAAATTTGGGATAAAAAATATCATTTTTTGGAAAACTCATTTCTTAAAAATGGCGCCTAACCTAAAAAATGTTTTTTTAATGAAGTGCATTGGTTGTTTGACCTATTTGAAAGATACAGGGCAACATGAAAACACCATTTGTATATCTTATTTCTTAAAAATGGCGCCCAAGAAAAAAATATGTTTTTAATGAAATACATTGGGTTTTTAAGTTATTTGAAAAATACAGGATAACATAAGGACTTGGAAACACAATCTGTCTACTTTCCTAGAAATATTGATTTGGCGCCCAAATAAAGCCATTTTATGGCTACTACTGATTTAAATTGCATTTTTGCCCAAATTGCATTTATTTTTAACAATTTTTCCGAAGGGCAATGAGATTTAGGATCATTTATTTTTAAGGCATGTTTTTTTCCCAAAGCAGCATTTTTAAACTTAGAATGATTTGTTGAAGAACTTTAAAGAAACGGAAATTTAGGAATTTAAATTTTGGAATTTTTTATGAGAAATTTAAAGGACTAAAGGAGCTGCTATCATAGTTTAAAGAGTTATATTTTCTCCAGGACTTTCGAAACTATTATTTTAAATTTTTTAAAATATTTTTCAGGGACTATGAGAATTTCCCAGTAGGAATTTTTAGGCAATTGTTTAACAACTTCTGAGCTGTTTTCACGTGCTTTGTTAAGGACTTTATAATTATTTGGATATTTTTTCATTACGTTTTAAACCAAAATAATTTTTACGTTTGACAATATCGTAATAATTTTCTTTGAAGGCCTATTAAAGACAAAGCGATTTCTTTTTCTTTGGAAAGATATAATTGCAAAAAATGACTCTATTATCCTTTGTGAGATCCTTTGTCCTTTCAAACCAATTTTTCTCTTTTTCTAAATTGTCCCCCCTACCCCCAACCCATTGTTTAATAACTAAATTTGTCTTATTCAATGGAAATCCCATTATTTTCCATTCAACAACTTCATAAGCATTGAACTCCGCATCGTTTCATTGATGGCTGTTCGGTTTCCCCCGTGAGTTTCTATGGTTTCTTGTAGTAGAGTAGATCCTTGGAACTCTTTGACATACAATTTATTACTTTAATTGATCTCAATTACAGTTTTCAAGTCAAACCAAGTGATGCCTTTTCAGAAACGGAACGCGCTGGCAAAGACAGACTCCGATGGTGGGTTTCTTAATAAAAACATCGGCTTCACATCATACACTGCATTAGTGTGTGTAACTGTGTATCAGTGTGTGTGTTTGTGTGCTTTGCAATTTCTCTTCTCTACTTACCAGCACCGACAGCATACTCTCAAAATCACCCGTTGCCGGCGAGGCATCCATGTACTTGTCTTTGACAAAATAACGTGTATCATTTTTCTCAATGGCCACACCGTCCTTCAGCCAGGAGATCTCACAGCGTGGCACACACTCGATGCGACAAGTTAGATTGGCATTGCGCGACGTGTGCAACATTCCGGTGTACGGTGGCAGATTCTTGATGAAGAATGGTGGGGCATGCACCTCCAAATTGACTGTGGCCATGGCACCTTTGCCGCCGGCATTGAAGGCATAGCAGGAATAGTTGGTGCGACTGTCGAGGCCCACCGGTTCGATGGTATAGTCCTTGGTGTCGGAGTTGGTTGGTCGGCCGCCACGCAGCCAACGGAAGCTGGAGGGTGGTAATTTGGTGCGTGCATTAAACGAAAATTTACCCATTTTGCGATAGAATTCAATGGTGGATGATGATGGAGACGATGATGGGGATGATGACGAGGAAGATGACATGGAGACGGATGTCATTGCATCGTAGCCAACAAAGTCATTGCCATTATTATTTCCATGGTCGGGGTGTTGTTGGTGAGGCAATGGCGGTCCATTTGTTAGCAATGTCAAGATTTGTTGTTGCGGCGAGAATGTGGTCAAGGTAAGGAGAGAGCAGGGAGAATTGTTTGTTAAATCAATTAAGACATGGGTTTCTTTAAGCACATGCTGCTGTTGCGTAGCTTTGTTGCTGGCAAAGGGATTTGCAAGCAGACCACCAGATTTGTGACCAGACAATTGTTGTTCATGTGTGTAGGGTTGTGGTGGTGGCAATGGTGATGGTGATGAGGATGATGATGTGGTTGTTGGATAATGTTGTAGGTGCTTGTGGTGTGATCCTTGTTCTGGTCTTTGTTGTTGGTGTTTTAGAAAATGTTCGCCAATTAAAGCTTCATAAGCTTCTTCAATTTCTGAAGCCGTTAGAGCTTGTACCGTGTAAAAGTGAATTTGTGGTGGTATTGGTGGTGGTTGTGACGATGATGATGTTGATGGTTGTGGTGGTGTTGGTGGAACTTTGATTAAACTTTGCATTTGGCAAACCATAAAAACATGAACAAAAGCAATGCGTGGCCAGCAGGACAAATGAGGATAACAACGACAACAACAACGATAATGGTGATGGATATGGAAATAATGATGTTGTTTGGTTGGTAATGAAATGGAATGGAATGCGGTTAGGTTTGTGTTGCAAATGTTTAAAATTTCAATTATGTATGGTTAAGGATTTAAATATAGGTATATGTGTATGTAAATATATTCACATGTTGGTCTTTAGGCATGCTGGAGGTATATAAAACGTTCGAACTTACCTGTTGGTTTCAGGATAACCAGGATCATCAACGGAACACGAAAAGGTGACACTCTTCTTTTTCACAGCAATCAAGGGGAAATGGGCAATACTGGCTGGACCGGGTTCATACAAAACCTAGGGAAGGAAAAAGATTCGGAAGAGAAAAAAAAAATAGTTAAATTAAAAAAAATTGAATTAATTAAGAAAAATATATTTTTTAAATTAAATATATTATTAATTATAATTTGGGAAATAACAACAAAGTTTAAGAATTATCAAGATTTTTTTTCAACAAATACTAGAGGCATCTTCTTCAAAAAAAACAAAAATGAATAAAAAGGTTCATACTTGTGAAGACTATGGAGAAAATCTATTCAGATTTCTTGAGGATATTTTTCAAGGACTATTGTGTGTTTTTTCTGGGTGTAAATTTTCAAGGATACCATAATTATTTTTTATATTTTCTAAGGTTTTTTTTAATAGATTTCCTCGGTTAAAATCATGAGGTTACTGATTTTTATGAAGCATGATAAATTATTTATTCGTAAATAATAAATTTTTGTTTTATTAATTTTTAACTAGCCATAAAAGTGCATTTAAAAAAAAAAAACATTTTTTGAAGGCCCATATATAAGGATATTTAAGAATAATTTGAGGGCTGTTCGGGCCATAATTATTGTTTTTTTTTTGAAGGACTTTTAAACGAAAATTTTGCAAGAATTAAAAAGCCAAGAAACGTCGAGTTTTAAAAGATAATTTCCAAGGACCAATAATCTTCGATATTTAAAAGTTTTTTTTAAGCAATAAGGCCAAGAATCGTGGATTCTGAAAATAATTTTTGGTAAGGACCTACGGAGCAAAAATTTTGGATATTTAAAATACCTTTACTCATTCTATTTTTTTAATAATTTCTTCAAAGACCATAATATTTTATTTAAAGTATTAGAGCCACAAATGTGGATTTTTTAAAGAATACTCTTTGGTGGATCACCCATGCAATAATCCTAGAATTTTCAAAAATATCCTCGAGGATTATTCATGCAATAATTCTGGAATTTTAAGGAATATCCTTCGAAGACCATTTATGCAATTATTATTATCCGTGGACCATCCACAAAATGACCGAGAATAGTTTAAATAGTTTTTAAAGGCCAAAATGTCAGGAATAGTGGGGTTTGAAAAAGATTTTTTTAAGGTCAAGAATTGTGGATTTTTAGAAGAATTTTTATCTACAACAATATGGCCAAAAATCGTGGATTTTTAAAAGAAACTTTTCCAAGGACCAAAAGCCCAAAATTCGTGGATCTTTTTTTTTTTTTTTGGGTGCCAAAATGTCAAGTGTCTTGTGTTTGTAAAATAAGCCTCTAAAAGGACGAAAAGCCCAAGGATCGTGGATTATTTTTTTGAGGGTCAAAAGGCCTAGAATCGTGGATTTAAAAAGAAATGAGAACCAATAGGCCAAGAATCGTGAATTTTTAAACGAAATTTTTCCAAGTACCAAAAGACCAAGAAACTTAGATTTGTTAAAGAAAAATTTCCAAGGACCATCGTAGCAAATATCAAGGATTTTTAGAAGATTTTTTTTTTTTTAAAACAATAAGGCCATAAATCGTGTATTTTTAAACAAAATTTTTCCAAGGACCAAAAGGCCAAGAAACGTAGATTTTTTAAAGAAAAAATTTCTAGGACCAACATAAAAAAATATTGAAATATTGAATATTTTTGAAGATTTTTTTTCTAAAGCGATGAGTCCAAGATTCGTGAATTTTTAAACGAAATTTTTCCAAGTACCAAAAGACCAAGAAACGTAGATTTGTTAAGGAAAAATTTCCAAGGACCAACATAGCAAATATCGAGGATTTTAGAAAATTTTTTTCTAGAGCAATAAGGTGGATTTTTAAACGAAAAATTTCCAGGACCAAAAGGCCAAGAAACGTCGATTTTAAAAGAATATTTTCCATTGATCGACAGAGCAATAATCGTGGATTTTTAGAAGATTTTATTTTTCTAATACAATAAGGCCAAGAATCGTGGATTTTCAAACGAAATTTTTCCAAGAACTAAAAGGCCAAGAAACAAAATTTTTTTAAAAAAAATTTCGAAGGACCGGCAAAACTTTTTTGGGAGATTTTTTCTAAAACAATAAGGCCAAGAATCGTGGATTTTGAAACGAAAATTTGTCAAGAACCAAAGGGCTAATATACGTAGATTTATTAAAGAAAAAAATCCAAGGACCAACATAGCAATTATCGAGTTTTTTGAGAGATTTTTTTAAAACAATAAGACCTAGAATCGTGGATTTTAAACGAAATTTTTCTAAGGACCAAAAGGCCAATAAACGAAGATTTATTAAAGAAAATTTTTCCAAGGACCAATAATCTTTGATTTTTAAAAGTTTTTTTAAGCAATAAGGCCAAGAATCATGGATTCTGAAAATAATTATTTGAAAGGACCTATAGAGCAATAATTTTGGCAATAGAGCAACATAGCAATTATCGAGTTTTTTTGGGAGATTTTTTTAAAACAATAAGACCAGGAATCGTGGATTTTCAACGAAATTTTTTTAAGGACCAAAAGGCCAATAAACTTAGATTTATTAAAGAAAATTTTCCAAGGACCAATAATCTTCGATTTTTAAAAGTTTTTTTTTAAGCAATGAGGCCAAGAATCATGGATTCTGAAAATAATTTTTTGAAAGGACCTATAGAGCAATAATTTTGGATATTTAAAATACCTTTATTCATTTTATTTTTTTAATAATTCCTTCAAAGACCATAATATTTTTTTTAAAATTACCAACAGAGAAATAATCGAGCATTGCTAAAACCAGCAATGCATTTATCGTCGACAGAATCGCAAGGACCTGCAGGGAAATTTTCGTGGATTTTTTAATACATTTTTTTTGCTAAAAATTGTAGGGCAATTATAGTGAATATTTAATAATATTTTTTCTAAAAACCAATTACACTGTGCGACATGGCATTTTGTGTTTTCAATAATTATGAGGAAAATGTAGCAGATTATGAAAGTAGAGCCATCAGAAGAAGACACACGTATCGGCATTTTGAAAGTTTACATGGAAAAGAAGCCTAAATAGAGGTGGCGAATTCCAACCCCTTCCAAACATAGGGAAATTTTCAGATTAAAATTTTGGAATACGTGAATTTTAGGTTTATAGTGTCTTTGACAATATTGCAGATGAAACTACGGGGAATATTTTGGTTAAAAAGTTTAACCCTCAAATTGACTCGCTTGGTGTCTTTTGGGTGTTTTTTTTTCAAAATATGGCTAAAAAATACTTTTAGAACTTAGAAAGAATTGAAATAAATAAATAAATACCTTAAAACGGAACCATAGGAAGTCAAAATATTCTACAAATGTATTTGTCATGAAATTCTGTTATAGGTTGTAGAAGACGTCAAGAGTCTAAATTTTGTGTAAACGACAGGAATTCATATATATTAAAAACCCAATTTTGGATTAAAACAGTACTTTGTGTGACTTTGTGCCAAAATCTCCTACAAATGGTCATTTTAGGAGGATAACATTAGAGGCAAAAATATTCCTCATCAAATTTCACTATAAGTCGCCAGGGAAAAGAAATATCTATGTTAATTGCAGATCCAAAAAAATATTGGCATCTATGTTGCCAATAACACGGAAAATATGTCCTAATTTTAAGATCGATTTTTTCTTTGACTTTTTTCGAGTTGATGCCTGAAAGTCACTTAAAACTTGGTTTTAGACGAAATATGTCAAGGGAAGAAATATTCCCCACAAGATCCCACTACTAATTTCTGCATAAATTATATATCTAGATACAATAGTTTTATATTAAAATTACATTCAAAATGTGAAATACTAAAAGTGAAAATTATGTCTTTGCTTTTTCAACTGCTAATTTAACACGTATCTATTATGAGTCAAAATCTCCCCTTATACATAATTTTTTTGGGTAAGTATCAAAGGCAGAATTATTCTAGACACAATTTCACCATGAGACACCAAAGACAAGAAATCTGTATTTCCACAGAATATCAGAAAAATATTCCCATCAATGTTCCCAAAAAAGAGAAACCGAAAATATTCCCAAAATTTTTCCGCGGAGTTTTTTTTTTAAATTGACGCCCAGAAGTAATATAAAATTTCGTTTTAGGCAAAAGGTTTCAAAAGAAGAAATATTCTACACAAAATTCTGCTATAAATCTCAGAATAAACCATATATCTGGGTTCAATAGATTTTATGAAAATTACATTCCAAATGTATGTACTAAAAATGAAAATTATGTTTTTTGCTTTTTAAACTCTTAATTTAACACGTCTCCAATCCGGGTCTATTTTCATTGCTTTTTCAGTGTCAAGTTTTAAATCGACGATACACATGTCTCCTGTTTTAGCTCTGCTTTTATAATCTGCTGGATTTTCCCCAATTTTTTGTGTTGCACAGTGTAAGTGTTCTTTACAATACAATTTTTTCCAATATTACAATATGTTCTATACTTCAAGTTTCTCATAAGAAGTCCCATAAAAACTCCGCCCCCCTCCCATCAATAATGTGTTATTACTTACCAACAATTCCTTATCATCGCTGCGTGGTCCCCAGCCGGCATCGTTATAGCCCTCACAGGAATAATTATAGAAAAAGCCACGTCCAATACTTTCCAATAGCAATTTACTGGGATCAATGTGACACAAATCCTCCTACAAAAATGAACAGAGAACAACAAGAAGAACAAGAAAAAAAATAATAAAACAAAACCATAACAACAATGAGAAAACAAATGCCAGGACATTAAGCTTCTTGCAAAGGACAAGATATAAAACACACTCACTCACACATGCATGTGTGTGGAAAAGGCTCAAGGCCAAAAACAAGAACTTACTTTAGTCTCTTCACAATCCGGCAATTCCTTTAGCAAGGTTGAGTTGGCATACCAACGGACTTTGGTCAGGACCGGGGGATTGGCATCAATAATTTTGCATATCAATGTGACATTGGCCTCCTCACTTTCCTTGACCGAGTCGACGGGTGTCATCAGGACCTCAACGGTGGGCACGTCTGTAAAATATTTTATTTTAAATATTTTAAATTTATTTCAATTTCTTTCGATTTAATTGACTTACACAACACATCCAAAAAAATCTGCTGCTCGGAAGTACCCTTGCCAGCCTCATTGGTTAATTCGCATGTATAATTGCCAATATCCTCTTTGTTGGCATGGCGTATGGACAGGGCAACGTGCTCGGAATTGCCACCTTTGTAATGATCATTATCGCTAACATTTAAGCTGACGCCATTGCGATACCTTTAAAGAGAGCGAGAAAACAAAAAAAAAAACATCAAAAGTTATAAAATATTTAATGGGCATATGTACGGCATACTTTTAGGGGTGGTGGTGGTGCTTGCTTTTAATTTATTACAACCATATCTTAAATATATTTTTGGGCGCCAGACAATATCTCTTGATTTTCTTTGTTAATTAACACATTTGTTTATGACTTTGGCAGCCTCACTTTTCATAGCCCCCGACTGCCATGCTCACACAAAAAAAAATTTAATTTAAATTCTCCCCAAAATGTGAAAACCAGAAAAACAATATCCTCAAACCATCATTACCCAGCCGGCGTTGCCAATAAATACCTGAACGGAAGGATATAAACTTCCTTTGGTCGCGGCAATTGTTTTCCAATGCCTTTCACAAACACACACTCACACACATAGCAGAATGCAAAGCAAATGTTATAATAATGCCACTGAGAGCCAACACAATCATGTAGACATGTTCATTTTTCGCTCTCTGCCTTATCCCTTGTTTAACACATTTTTTGTGGCATATTTAAGGGCGGCGCAACCATCGATATGAACAACATTATCATATACACAACAGCAGCGGCAACATGGTTTGTTTACACTACCTGCACGACCGACAAGTGTTTTTAATATGTCTACATTATTAAGGTCGTCGTATGTGGTTAAAAGGGGGGAGGACGTTGGCAAGCCAGGAGGAGGATGGATGAATGTGTAAGTGGTTTGAAAAATATGTAAATAATTTAATATTTTATTAAAAAAAATTAAATTGAAGATGAAGAAGAACTGTTCCCTGAAGAGTTATCTAGTCTATAGTATAGGTAATCGGAGGTCATTTATTTCACAAACGATGTTCACCGAGGTCTCCTCTCTAGAGTAGATGCCACCAGATCCTGTCTACTTTATAGTATATGCCACCAGAGGTCATTTACTTTATAGTAGATGCCACCAGAGCTCAACTACCCTACAGTAGATGTCCTCTAAGGTCATCTACTCCACAGTAGATGCAATCTAAGGTCATCTACTCCACAGTAGATGTCCTCTAAGGTCATCTACTCCACAGTAGATGTCCTCTAAGGTCATCTACTTGACAGTAGATGTCCACTGAAGTTATCTACTCGAGAGTAGATGTCCTCTGAATTCATCTATTCCACACGAGATGTCCACTGAGGTCATCTACTTCACAGTAGATGTCCTCTGAGGTCATTTACTCGACCGTAGATGTCCTCTGAGGTCATTTACTCGACAGTAGATGTCCACTGAGGTCATTTACTTCACAGTAGATGTTCTCTGAGGTCATCTACATCACAGTAGATGTTCTCTGAGGTCATCTACTTTACAGTAGATGTCCACTGAGGACATCTACTTGACAGTAGATGTCCACCGAGGTCATCTACTTGACAGTAGATGTCCACTGAGCTCATCTACTTAACAGTAGTTGTCCACTGAGGTCATCCACTCGACAGTAGATGTCCACCTGAGGTCATCCACTCGACAGTAGATGTCCACCTGAGGTCATCTACTTGATAGTAGATGTCCACTGAGGTCAACTACTGGACAATAGATGTCTACTGAGGTCATCTACTGGACAGTAGATGTCCACTGAGGTCATCTACTTCACAGTAGATGTCCTCTGAGGTCATTTACTCGACAGTGGATGTCCACTGAGGTCATCTACTGGACAGTAGATATCCACTGAGGTCATCCACTCGACAGTAGATGTCACTTGAGGTCATCTACTTTACTGTAGATGTCCGCAGAGGTCATCTTTTTTACCGTAGATGCACGCTGGAGTAATTTGCTCCACAGTAGATGCTCACGGAGGTTATCTATTCCAGAGTAGATATCCATTGAGATTATCTACTCCAGAGTAGATATCCACTGAGGTCATCTACTCTACAGCAGATGTCTACTGAGGTCACGTACTCTACTGTATATGTCTACTGAGGTCATCTATTGTACGCTAGATGTCTACTGAAGTTATCCTCTGCACAATATTTGTCCTCTGAGATCTTCTATTCCTCAATAGATGTCCACTGAGGTCATCAACTCCACAGTAGATGTTTACTGAGGTCATCAACTTCTCAGTAGATGCCCTCAGATGTCATCTACGCTACAGTAAAAGGCATCAGAGGTCATCTACGCTACAGTAAATGGCAGCAGAGGTCATATACTGAACAGTAGATGCCACTTGAGGCCATCTACTGCACAGTAGATGCTGACTGAGGGCATCTATTCTAAAATAGATTTCCCCTGAGTTCATCTACCCCACAGTAGATGTCCCCTGAGGTCATCAACTTCACAGTAGATTCCCACTGAGGCCATCCATTTTATAGTGGATGCCACATGAGGTCCTCTACTCTAGAGTAGAAGTCACTTGAGGTCATCTACGCCACCGTGGATGTCTGCTGAATACATCTACCCCACTATAGATGTCTGCTAAACACATTTACTCCATGGTAAATGACCATCTACTGTAGAGATGATGACTGCTGAGGTTATCAATTCGTTAGAAAAAAAACGACCTCTTTGCTCCCCCTCCTATAGAGCAGTTAAAATGTTCCTCCATTAAAATATTTTCCTGTTTCTGTTGAAAACCCAACCATGTTTTGGCGGGTTTTAAATATGCCTTTGTATGTGTGTGTGTGCGGGAGCTACAAAATCCGTTCGGCTTGATTGTATGAGAGTGTAATTAATTTTAATTATTGCAATGCAATAAACCGAATTGCTCGTAAGTTAATGACCTCACACCATATTTCAACACATAAATACATATCCGAAAGCACACACACACACACACATACAAACACCCACACACACACAAAGAAGAATTGCTGTATAAGATCAATGGTTGGGGTTGGAATATTTTATGCTGCACGAGAGGAGACCATGGAATAAGCCAGCTGAGTTACCCCACAGCAATCCAACATCGAGTCAGCCAGGCAGCATTTCACTCAGCCAACCATTGCAATCTCATTACAATCGAATTTTATTGTAATTTTTTATGGCTCCATGCCTTATTTTTGAGTTCTCCGTTTTTTGAGTTCTCAGTGTGTTCCATACCACCCACCAACCCACCCGTAAAAGTCATTTTCATTTGCAGGCCAATGCGTGGCATTCTGTTTTCAGTTGTAGCTCTTTTTTATTGTTTTCTGTTTACCACTCTTGTAGTATTTAAATGCCGGGGATGTGGGTTTAATAGCAAACGGAAAAGTATTAAAAATATTTTCGAACGGCTTGCCTTCGGATATGCTGGAAAAGGGGGGTGGGTGTTGTGCAGTGACGGTCTTTTTGTGCGTTCGCCCCCCAAAAAGTATGCTTCAATTTTAATAGTATTATTATGTATTGCCATTAAATGTATTAAGATAATGACGCTCCAGCCAGGCACAAACACCAAAAGCTGAACATTTCCAGTTGTCGTTGTTGCTGTTTTATGCTTGCCACTGCCATTTTGCTTTGGCCATTGTTATTGGCCTCGTTAATGCAAATGGCCGGAGAGTTACTTGCAGCGCCAACGAATGACGGAGCGGTAAGTAATGTCCCATAATTATTGTTTAATTTTTATTTCAATAAAGACCAAAAGGATTTCGCCCACTTGCCATTTTTATTGGGAAAAAGTTATGATTCGTCTGTGTGTGTGTGCATCGAGGACCATAAAAGCTCGCCATGCGACAACTGAAACTTGGTTTTGCAATTCAATGCCAATTCAAGAGGTAATAATTAAGCAACAAAGTGTTTAGTGTCGTGGCGCATATAAACCCGGCTGAAGTAATGGTCGTTTGTTTGTTTTTTTTGTTTCTTTAACAAAGTAAGTGAAGTTGTAAAAATTTGTTGCTGTTATTGTTGTAAGGATAACATTATAGTTGGCCATAATGACGGCTAAATGATGTGAAATATAAAAGGGCAAGGGTTATGCGTCGCATTATGGTCAAAAGGGTTTTCAATAAGGCGAAGGGTGTAATGGTTAATATAAAAGGGTATTAGGGGGATTTTTAATATTTTGGATAATTGAAAATTATGGAGAAATTTTTAGAGGGGGCAAAGGAAAATCGGGATATAAAAATATTTTCGAGGTGTAACTTAGAGTGGTCATTCAACTTTTTCCTTGGGGTTTACAAAATCTTTGGGTCCCCTCTTGACAAAATTTCAAACACCTTTTCAGACACCTTCTGTACAGGATATCTGTGGACAGGATATCCTGTGGTATTTCACAAAAGGGTCCTTACAAGCATACTTTTCCTAGATGGGATTCTAGAAGCGCTGCTTAAAAATAAAGGGCAGTCTTGTAAAAGATAGATATATTTAAAAAAAATAGCTCTCAGAAATTTCTGAGGAAGGGTTCTTAGAAAAAAAAAAAAAAAAAACAATTTTCTAAAGGAGGGACTCCAAGAAACAGTTTTCCCTTAAAATTGGATTCTGAAAGGTTTGAGGTATTTCCCAAAAAAGTTGTCTCTAGAAGCACATTTGTCCTAGAGATCGCTGTTTCTCTAGAACGGACATTTAAAGGAACCTAGAACTACTTAAAAAAAGGACATCACTGGACTGGTTTTCCTTAAAATAGGCTTTCGGAAAGGCTTGAAAATACCCCAAGCATAGAAGTTGTCCCTAGAAACACTCGTCTTTTCTCAAGAAGGGATACTTAAAAGGAACTTAGAACCACTTTAAAAAAAGGACATCGCCTGAAGCGCTTTTCCCCAAGAAATGAAGTAAGAAGGACATTTGTCCCCAAGAAAGTGTCAAGAAAATCGTCCTTTCTCTAAGAATTGATTATTAGATGATGATTAGAAGCAGACGTTCCCCGACGAAGAAATATGCATTAAATAGTCCCTTCTCTATACCTTCTCTCATTTTTTCTCCTTGAAAAGGTCCTTACAGGCATACTTTTCTTAGGCGGGATTCTATAAAGGACATGTATAATTAGCATTTCTTCAGGAAAAATCTAGTAAAAGAAGTATATCTAGATTCTAGAAAAAGACCTCCTTAAACTCTTTAAGGAAG